GGTGTGTGTGTGTTATGCGTGACGGGATTTGTAGATCATAAAGTGACAGAATTGTAGTCCAGGTGAAGGTGCTGTCACGGTTTGTGATGTGCAGATTTCTCTGAGTTTTGACTCGTCAAAAATACAATTTAAGATATCTACAACTGTAATTCGACTATTAGTAAATTAATTAGAGATATCTTCAAATATATTTGTAAATATCTCTAAATATGACGAATTAAAGACATCTCCAAATGTATTATGACTAGTAGATAACTCTAATTACAATTGTGACTAGTCAAAACTCATTTAGAGATATCTGCAAATATTTTTCAATGGAAGTCAATGGAGGAATAGGACTAGTCATAATATATTTGCAGATATCTCCAATATGATTTCGTACTAGTACAATTGTAATTGCAGATATCTCTAATTGTCATTCTGACTAGTCGAATTATAATTATGACTAGTCAAAATATAATTAGAGATATCTCTAAATATATTTATGGAGTCAGAACAAAGATTTAAATGCTAAAAAGGTTTGCCATAGAGAGCGCTTCTGAACAGCGCAGCAGCGATGACGTAAGCGTGCCGAGGCCTGATATGGTGTGAGCGCGGGCCGTCGGGGGAGACGGGAGGGGGGACAAGCGTGCTTTGGCCCAGTTCGAGGCAACTGTACCTAGTGTGAGTACGGCCTAAATGACCCACACTCCTTCTCTAAACCCAACCAATAGTGTTTTCAAAAGCATCGATTGACCTGCTTACCCACTTCCAAACCCAGCCAACAGTTTTTTAAAAGCAATCCAGAAAAAGAAAAGCCCTCGCCTGATTTTCACCACTTTTACCACATTCTCAGTCTGTTATTTATTTGTTTATTTTACTTTTTGGCTTCTGTTTTTGTCTTAGCTGCTTTCTGAAACCATTCTTCGCTGGACTAGAACCTTGTCATGGTGGTCTGTTTTCCAGGCCACCAACATACATGGTAAGCTGACTGGACAAACTGGTAACAGTAGAAAAGCCGTTCATACGGAGTTAAGCAGTCATCTGGTAAGTGTGAAAAGAAATGCTATCATTCCGCCCTGTAGAGTTCATTTTAACGACAAAATGCAGCCATACATACTTCTGGCTACATATTTCACAATCTCCAGAAATGTATATAGGGCTAAAATTTCAGAATGAGCCTATGTTGGTCATTTTTTATTTGACTCATTAATTGTACAGAATAACCCATCAAGAATGAAGATTCCTTAAAATGTTGGGGTAAAAGAACGAAATATACAGTCAACAGTATAAAAAAATCTATAGAAAGTCCCCATAAAACATGAAAAACCAACATGCAAGTGTGTGTGTGTGTGCGTGTGTGTGTATGTGTGTGTGTGTGTGTGTGTGTGTGTGTGTGTGTTTGCGTGCGTGCGTGCGTGCGTATGTGTGTTTTATCAGCATGACATATTCAAATAAATAAAATACAAACAAAAATACAAGATGTATGTTTCTCATATCACACATCTCAACTCCAAAGACATGGGTGTAAATGAGAAAGATGCATAAATAGATGACATGCATGCAGTTCTCATATTTCTTCCTTGGCTGGATCTTCACCCATCTCCCCCACCCAGTGTCTCCTCTAGCAGCCTCCCCCATCTCATCATCCAGCCCTCTTGTCTCCATCCCTTTCTCTGCACCAGTTCTTATGGGCTCTGCTGCTTCATTATTTAGAGAGAAGGCTGTGTTGGACCTGCAGATCAGCGACCGCATCCTAGCAGCTGCAGACTTCTCCTGCTTTTTTACATAATTCATTCTGAAATGTGATTAAAGACAACACACACACAGGAGCTGCTCGGCCTCCAGAGAGCAGCTCACACACACCTATACACACAAACACTGAGAGACTGTGTGTGTGGGGGGGATGCATGAAGAACAGAGAGAAAGAGATGGAGATCTGGCTTTAGATGAGACAGATGTACTCACGATGATGGTAAGACACTTTCAAAACACAAAACTTTTGAGAGAGAGAGAGAGAGAGAGACAGAATGGATATGTTTTTGCCAGGAGAAGCAAATCTACAAGGTGCTCTAAATGGCTTTATCCCATTACTGATCCCCTCATCACTTCATTATCCCTCATCAGTCACTGTCGTTTTGTTTTTCCCTTTTCTTGCCATCCATTACCCTTCATTATGTCTGTCAGAAAAGAATTCTGCCTCATTTTTTGTGCATGGTTCTTGAGAAGCCATTAAATATAATAAGGAGTTAAATTTGGATCCAAGACCTGAAGACACTGCTTACAAAGAAAAACCAACAATCTTCAAAAATGATGCAGCGGTTTCACCAACTACAGATATTTTTATGTTTATAATTGATTTTTATTACCCTGAATCAGACTTCTGCAAGCTTAAAACATGAAATTTCAATGCCAGATTTTGTAAAATAGTGAATTTGTTTGTTTATATATTAATTTATGTCATATATACTTACACTATATATGCATGAATCATTTTACTTATTAAAATAACATCTTAAACATTATACACTCACCAGCCACTTAATTAGGTACTAGTACCGGGTTGGACACCCTTTTACCTTTAGAACTGCCTTAATCCTTTGTGGCATAGATTCAACCAGGTACTGGAAATATTCTTCAGAGATTTTGGTCCATGTTAACATAATAGCATCATGCAGTTGCTGCAGACTTGTTGGCTGCACATCCATGATGCGAATCTCCATGGTGAGACTCCATCTCCAAAGGTGCTCTATTGGATTAAGAACTGGTGACTGTGGAGGCCATTTGAGTACAGTGAACTCATTGTCATGTTCAAGAAACCTGTCTGAGATGATTTGTGCTTTATGACATGGCGCATTATCCTGCTGCAAGTAGCCATCAGATGATGGGTACACTGTGGTCATAAAAGGATGGACATGGTCAGCAACAGTACTAGGGTAGGCTGTGGTGTTGATGCTATATTGGTACTAAAAGGCCAAAAGTGTGCCATAAAAATATCCTCCACACCATTACAACACCACCACCAGCCCGAACTGTTGATACACAACAGGATGGATCCATGCTTTCATGTTGTTGATGACAAATTCTGATCCTACTAGACTTATCAGACCAGGCAATGTTTTTCCAATCTTCTATTGTTTAAATTTGGTTGGCCTGTGTGAACTGTAGCCTCAGTTTCCTTTTCTTAGCTGACAAGAGTGGTACCTGGTGTAGTCTTCTGCTGCTGTAGCCCATCTGCCTCAAGGTACGATGTGTTGTGAGCGTTCAGAGACGCTCTTCTGCATACCTCGATTGTAACGAGTGGTTATTTGAGTAACTGTTGTCTTTCTATCAGCTCGAACCAGTCTGGCCATTCTCCTCCGACCTCTGGCATCAACAAGGCATTTGGGACCACATAACTGCTGCTCATATATTTTTTTATAGATATTTTCTCTTTTTGGACTATTCTCTGTAAACCCTAGAGACGGTTGTGTGTGAAAATCCCAGTAGATAAACAGTTTCTAAAATACTCAGACCAGCCCATCTGGCACCAACAAAGTCACTTAAATCACTTTTCTTCCCCATTTTGATGCTCAGTTTGAACTTTGACGGGTGTACCTAATAAAGTGGCCAAAAACGCACATTCCAGACACATTTTTAGTTGTGTCTTCAAACTTTGCAACATTAAAATAAAAAAAATTTGCAATTACAACAAAAACATTTCCAAGTTTGAAAAAAAGGACATTTTCTGGGATGCATGTATTGTTTATCCACAGACGGTCATTTAAAGCAGATTAATTGAAATAAATTATGAAAACATGAGGTGAGAATTTGTTTTCTAAAACCACAGTGCCAAAGCTGATGAAACAATTACAGTGCTTTGCAAAGCAGCTTGCATGAGATGAAGCTTGTGCTGTGGGCGAATATCACCTCATTCTTGATCTGACACTGACACTGACTAGAGTCTCATAATATTGAATATAACTTGACTGTGTAACCCAAATAAAAAAATAATAAAATAAGCAAGGCACACACAGGCAAATTATGCCTGCTGTTATAATCAATATATTGACCATGTATTGCTCAATATATCGAGCAATAGGCATGACCTCAATTGTCGGTGATGCAATCTATATTGCCCTTCGTGTTTAGATAAAAATTAATGTCAGCAACCCTTTACCTGACTGCAAAAAGGCACACATTTACAAATAATGTTAAAGGAATTTAAAAAAAAAAGGCTTAATTTAACCCCCTTTTTGAGTGGATTTTGAATGGAGTTTTACCATTTTTGAATCCATTCAGCTGATTTCAGGGTCTGACGAGAGCACTTTTAGTTTAGCTTAGCAGAAATCACCTGAAAAAAGTCCCCAGCTAAAGATAACTGTAGGTAAAATCATTGCATAATATCATTGCTTCTGCTGCAGCCATGCTACAGCAGAAACATTCCTTGATTATTAAGCCAGAATGAGTTACTAGATGGATTAGAAAAACGCAAAAATTATGAAATTTCTGTTGGTCTTCGTATATAAAATTACTCTTTTTTTTTTTTTTTTTTTTGGAGCGAGATGCTTATGGTCTAATCCAATTCAATGATTTATGCTAAGCTAAGCTAAAAGTGCCTCAGCCAGACACAGAGATCAGCTGAATAAACTCAAAGATGGTCAAACTCAAATGTTGAGAAATAGATGAGCTGTAAAATAAACCTATTCCCCAAAAAGGTGAAGTGTTTCTTAAAAGCCATTTTATAATTGCATTCACATTCTACATCACTGGTGTCAAAGTTTATAGGTTTTGTCCATTGAAAGTGTTTATGGCTGTCTGCTTTATTATGTTGTTGTTTAATTAGTGAATCAAAACTATCACTTACTGCAATCATTTCTGACAATATATTGCACAGTAACACATGACAGGCCTACACACAAACTCTCATGCTTTTTTTTCATTCTGATCTGTACCCTGTCAATTTAAGCAATGTTTCATTGTTTTTTTTTCATTCACTGTTGACTAGTTGTGTATTCAACACTTTGTGTCTGTAGAATCACCTGGTGTTATCAGAGTCAATGGTGTGAAACAGCTTTTCCAGCTCCTCTTCGTTCAGAGTCCCATCAGAGAAGAAAGCCTGGAACTCATCAAGGGAAAGCTTTCCATCATCTGCAGGGAGGAACAAAGGAGATTTCAGTGGCACAATCTCATTTTTATTACACCAGACAGGACTGTGTAGCAGCATCAGGGGTATTTCTGTAACTGCATCTTAACAGGTACAACAGGCTGCCATTAGTCACAGCATCACCATTACAATCAGCATCACCTGTAATGTCTGAACACCAAATATAAACATACTGTATGTGGGGCTTATAGTCTATTAATCAAAAAATGTAGGAAGAAAGAAAGAAAGTAAGAAAGAAAGAAAGAAAGAAAGAAAGAAAGAGAGAAAGAAAGAAAGAAAGAAAGAAAGAGAAAGAAAGAAAGAAAGAAAGAAAGAAAGAAAGAAAGAAAGAAAGAAAGAAAGAAAGAAAGAAAGAAAGAAAGAAAGAAAGAAAGAAAGAAAGAAAGAAAGAAAGAAAGAAAGTCGCCTATCCAAGTTTTAGGATCAACAAATAATAACTTGAGTTCTAGTTAATTATTTGGTATCAGAAGTGGCTTATATGAAAGGCAAAGGCCTCTGGATTACACTTATTTTACCAAAATAAAATATGACGATGCCTTGATTTTTAATTATTAAATTAGGACAGTAAGGTCTGACTTTGCTTAGACAAAAGTCTTGTCACTTAACAGAAATAATGTACAGTATAGAATATAAAGTCAAGGTGCAGTGGAAAAAGAATTATTACTTTGTATGACTCCCATGAGCTTGGAGGACTGCATCCATACATCTCTGCAATGACTCAAATAACTTATTAATAGTCATATGGAACGGCAAAGAAAGCAACCTTGCAGGACACCTAGAGCTCATCAAGATTCTATAGATCATCTTCAATCCCTCCTCCTCCATCTTATCCCATACATGCTCAATATTGTTCATGTCTGGTGACTGGACTGGTCACTTCTGAAGCAGCTTGACCTTCTTTGCTTTCAGGAACTTTAATGTGGAGGCTGAAGTATGAGGAGCGCTATCCTGCTGAAGAACTTGCTCTCTCCTGTGGTTTGTAATGTAATGGGCAGCACAAATGTCTTGATACCTCAGGCTGTTGATGTTGCCATCCTTGTGTAAACTCTGGCCACCCCTGTGGCCACCCCAATTATTATATTGCTGTTATTATTATTAATTTAAACCTACTTGTGCACATTCACAATATTTCAATAAATAAATAGCAGCCACTGAATTTTTGTGGATTGATTGGTGTCACCGACATCACTGCCTCTAGCCCTCACCGATCGTCATTGACAGCACACGCACACTCCTTCAATAGACACCAATGGCAATTTAATATTTCACTTAAGGTGCATTAATAGAAGAAGCTGTATTAATAATATTATGGCTCAAAAAGGAATATGGATAAATTATATTATTAGTCAGTATAGTGTGCCCATGTGTATATAGTAATGCCTTTTGTTCATTTGTTTGTTTTATTAATTCATTCATTAATGGTTATTAATTTTTAGACATGGCATATACTGTATGTTGTACAAAAAGAATGTGAAAAATAACTGGAAAAAAATATATAATTTTTTTTAAACAAAATATAGATTTTTATTTTATTTTATTGAATTTATTTTATCTTATTTTATTGAATTTATCGATTTTTTTAGTACTTAATTGCGATATTTCAAGAGTATTTAATTAAATGAATTTAAACCACATTATTTAATTTACCAGAAACAAAAATATAACATTACACTGAATTCTTTTTTATTTATTTATTTATTTTTTTTTGCATGCAAGCACAAGATTTGGTGAGGCATCTTTTGGCCACCCCTAGAAAACCTTCAAGGGCTCCACTGATTTCTATGAATCCTGGGTCCATGTGGGTTCAACTAGGTTTTCTGCAGTATTTGTGATGATTGGGATGCACTTCAACAGATGATTCATCGTAAAAATCAACCTTATGGCACTTTTCTAAATGATCAACTAGAAGGCAAGTTATTAATTGTTCGTCTTACAACTGGGATCGATAGGAAGACAATTGTCAGGTAGTGTACTGTTGGAAATGAATTTAAATACAGAAATGCACAGCCTTTATTTCACACACTGCATTGTCGTACGACATTTTACATTTCAAATAGAATTTTGCTACTCATATGCTTCCATAATAACCATCTCCATTTAATTTGTCACTATTACCATATGCATCTTTATGTTCTAGACAGACACGAAGATCTCTGAGTAAGCTTACCTTTCATTGACACTGTGCACAATTTGACACATAATTAATAAGCCTTTCTTACTAAGAGGCAGCCAATTTCTAATTTAAGAACTTGCGTGAACATAACACTTTTAGAAATTTGGTTGGTAAGTAGTGTGTTATGTTCAGTATGGCTGCACTTATATATATAAACAAACTGAATATTTTTGTAATATTAGGAAATGATTATCTTTTTTTAATATATTTTAAAATTTTATTAACTCTTATGTTGCTAAGCTGAATTTTTAGCATCAATACTCCAGTTTTGATGTCACATGATCCTTTAGAAATCATTTGAATAGTTTTATTGGTATTAACCCTTTATTAATATTTTACTATCCCTGATAATATTTTTTTCTGAATTTGAGTCAATGTCTTGCTTACTATAGTAAACATTTCTAAAATGAATGATCACATATATATGGATATATATATATATATATATATATATATATATATATATATGTGTGTGTGTGTGTGTGTGTGTGTGTGTGTGTGTGTGTGTGTGTGTGTGTGTGTGTGTGTGTGTGTGTGTGTGTGTGTGTGTGTGTGTGTGTGTGTGTGTGTGTGTGTGTTTATGAATATCTTTCATGTTTCATTTTTCATCACAAGTGAAAAGTGAAGACAGATAAGTTCACTGATTCTCTGTGGGGAAGGGTCGAGAAAAGGTTGGTCTAGTAAGTAGCACAGGGGGGGGAGGGAAAAGGGGATGGGGGTGTTACAAATACCAGTCTCAGATGCAGTCAATGCTGGGAGAAATGAAATATTCATCACCCTGGATTTGTCCTTGAAGTTAGACCTGTGTTTATTGGACAAACTGAAGCACGAAATACAATATGAAAGTAAGTGCAGACAATCACCGGCTCCAAAGAAACTATTGGATTGTAGTCTCTAAATCCAAAAAGCCTTTACTGGAAATGAGAAGCACTCCTGACTTGTCAGTGCAGTTCTGTATCTACACCTCCATTACACTGCCATGTATTTATACATGACCTTTAGCCATTTCGCTTTTTATAGAAGCACACAATATACTGTTTAGGAAAAAAAAAATTCTCTGGATTTACTGAATTTTTATGTTTGACGCTAAGTAAGAATGTTATTATTTGTTTTATTAAATAAAGGTTTCATATATTTTGTTTGCAAATAACAAATAAAAAATATTATCAGTGTCATATTTTCCTTGTTTAAAAAATTACAATTGGTCAAAAGTCATTTATATTTTTGGAAATCCAGTTATTCCATCAATGGGGGGGGGGGGGGGGGTGTATATATTTATATTATAATTTTTTAATTATTATAATTTAAGATATACACCAGAGATCAGAAAAAGCTATTGCTTACTATTAAAGGACTGACCTCCCCATATATCTTCTGTTGTCTAAAAAACGTTATTTTAACCAGCAACATTTTGATGTTAAACTGATAAGAAATGTCATTAGAAACCCCAAAGATATTTTACTTAAACGCACCTTTAAATGTAATCTAATATAATGTGATGCTTTTGTTTTATGCATATGTATATAATAATGTATATTTTTTTGGCAATGTATATATATATATATATATATATATATATATATACACACACACACACACACACAAAATCATATTAAGTAAAGTACAATATTAAGTAAAGATTATGTTTCTTGAAATATTTTGTACATTTCCTATTGTAAATATATGAAAACGCAGTTTTTGGTTAGTAATAATATAAAATTTCAGCTCATGCCATCAAAAAGATGTTAAAAAGTATGTATATGGTTTTAAATTGAGTTTTTAATGTGATTTATGTGATGACATTGAATGTATTTGTGTTGCCTGTTTTTTCTGTGATGTGTGGAATGTGAACGCTGATGTGGTTGTGTGGTGAAACCAAAGCTAAATTTCCAAATGTGGACAATAAAGAAAGTAAAGTAATGTGCATTGCTAGACATTTAATTTAGACAAATCTGAGATTTTATTTATTCTTTTGAATTTATTTGATTTATCTCAGTCCAAAAAAATTATCCTACCTTAAAAAAGTATGCATCATTGGAAAGCTGAGAAACTGGGAATTGTCTTTTTCCATAGCACGTACCTGTATGCTTTTCTGTCTCTAATATTACAATGTTCTCATCCTTTCTCCATCGCCATAAAAAGCCTCGTGGTTAGAAAGTGAAGGCAGAAGGGAAGCAAATTCAAAAGCAATTTTTTCAGAAGCACATCTCTTATATGGAGTGTTTTTCTCTGTCTTTTCCCATCTCTATGCAAGAGCACGGGGAACCCAGCCCATAATTAGGCAGTGACCCACTTTTCTTCTCTTTTGCTCTGGAAGGATTGCTTGCTCAGGAAGCAGACATTTACTTCCCCAGTTTCCACGTTCAGCATTGTGCTCTGATGACGGCTGATGTGTAACAGAAACATTACCTCCGTAATACATCCTAATGAGTCAATAAACCTCTCTGCACCAGCTTGGCTTAACAAATTAATCTTATACAACCATTATTTCATGTTGATGATCACCGTTTGGATGATGCTGGTTGGAAAAAATAATATTTTTTACAGTATCTTTTTGCAGAACTGTGTAAGAAATGAACTGTCCCGCTGAGCAATTACCTGCAAATTGCTGGCCTCACCTAAACTGCATGTGAGCTGCTGTAATGCTGCTTGATGGACAGAAGTAGTTTATCTTTCTAGATAATGTGAATGGCCTTTCAGTGGGACTTAAAAGTCCCATCTCATATCTTAAGTGTGTCATGACAATGGCAGCCTTTCATATTCTCAGATCTAAAGATTAAAACCTATGCTAAGCACTGAAGATGAATCTAC